GAGGGACTGTTGTGGATTTTGCCTTTTCTTTAATTTATGAGGGCGGCTGTATGTACGACAGTCACGTGACTTGTTCTTCTTTCCTGTGACGATTCTACAAGAGAAGTCCGTCTCATAAGACATGCTCGACTCCTTTAAGGTTCCTTGGAAGCAGTTTTATGAAGCTTTATTTTCAAGACACAGAGTTTGTCGACGTACAGGTTTCACATGTGCACAAAAAATGACTGCATGGAAATATTTCAGAACTCGACGCAACACGACTGATTTGTTTGAGTGTTTAAATCGGCACCACGAAGCTCTTTATAGCGACACAATCCCAAACTGATCCAAACTGATCCAAACAGCCTTTTTTCTTTTCTTCTTTTTTTTTAACAGCTTTTTGTTTAGTTAATTTTGAATTAATTCTTTCCAAATACAGTACTGTGCAGCCCTGATCTTTGATGTGGTTCTTTGATCAGTCGTGTTTTGTAATTTGAAAGAAAAAAAAAAAAAGTGTTTATTTACCCAGAATTCATAGCAAATGATTTCTGCTGCAGACAATAAACTAAACAACATTTCAGCTTCTGTCTACAGCCAGAGTTCATCTTAGTGGAGCTGCTCACTGGTTCTGTAAATACTCACCAGAGCCGCAAACACGTATTAATCCGCAGCTGAAAATAGTTCCAGACAAAAGTACTGTTTACTTATGCTGGAGTAACGTTTGCTAAAAATGGCAGCGTCCACGTGCTTCAGGAAATTACTAACCCCGCTTAAAACATTATCCTGTAAGTTCAGGACCTGTTTTTAAAGATTTAGTTCTTAATAAATAATGGAGGACGTTAAATCTGAGTGCCTCCAATAGGGCACAGCATTGGAAGTCTAAGAAAATAGATTAACACCTCGCTGGTGTCGCTGCTTTCAAGGGACTTGTTTATTTTCTATCACTAACACATCAGCAGCATTGCAGATTCCATAATTTCTGAATCTGAGCTGAAGCCTGTGGCGCTGAGCGACTTTTTATTGTCTCGTGTGGTGGAAAACTATGAAGGTGGAACAACCAGAGAGAGGAGCTCACCGTCAGGTCCAACGAGATGAGCAGGACTCAGCTGTAGTGTGTCTGACGTGTTGGAGGATAAATAATCAAGTGCTCGAGTCAGACAGGAGATGCCCTGGAGATGTTTTGTGAAAGGTGTGTGCTGGTTGGAGCAGCTTTACGTCACAAGAACATGAAGAGGTGACTCATGTGTGAGAAAGGCAAACTGTAAAAGAGCTGTCTGAACCGGTCTGTGTGTCCTGGACATGCAGACACCGAACACCAGAGCGGTAAGAAGATGCAGTAACTGGAGGCATCCATCAGTCACAGGTTATCAGAATGTAAAACCAAGTTTCCCAAACCGAGGTTAATCTGAACCATTAGCCCGACGGACCGAGTTCTGGCTCGTTCTGAACGTCTGAAGAACTTCTTAACGCCTCATTTTCCACTGCAGGTCAGGAACATCGCAGTGAGTCACACCTTTAAAATCGACAAGGCCTGTCAAGAGCTGGGTTACTGTCCGAAGCCCTACAGCCTGGCAGACTCTGTGGAGCAATACCTAAAGTCCCGGCAGCCTCGATCCAGCTCACCTTTCTCCAGCCTGTCCTGGACCTTCAAACTGCCTCGACGCCTGGTTCTGGTGCTGCTGATGGGCTTTGGCCTGGTGCTACTTATGTTATCCTGCATCCTCTGTCAGAACTAAGCAGTTTTCACTGCCTCGCACTGACAGCTGCGTTGTAAACTGCCTCAGGCTTTGTAATTTCAACACTTCATGTCTGTGTTAGTAAATTAAATCTGCTTGTTAGTGTCATAAGAAGTGACAGTCAAAGTGACAACTTATTAATGAAACTCACCAGACGCAGTAAAATGTGCTCTAAAAATAAACCTGCAGAACGTCAGATTCTGTGATTTCTGCGTATTTCAATGACAGCACGTTCCCTTGATGTAAGTCCAGGAGCTGTTCCTCTTCCACCTTTCTGACGTCACTTCAACATGATGAAACTACCAAGTGGCTGAAAAGTATTAAACCTGAGTTGTGTGAATGTTATGGATTTCTCTACAGTTTGAAGTTGCTATGATGTATTTTAAGGAACCAGATATCCAAATTTGTTTTACAAAAATTTAAGCAGTCATTTATTGTATTTAAAGCATGCTTCCAGTTTGTATGACGAGTATTTGTCGTGATGTACACGTCTTTAGCATTTAACCAGCACTGAAGTTGTCATTTTGTACACTTTTAGAAGTAAAAATATTAACAATGAATGAATGCAATCATCATTTTATATGAAGTTTTAATGTGCACAAAGAAAAACGTAATTTTAGTTGAAAAATACAGGGATTAAAAAAAACAAAACAATAATGCTGCCACAAGAGGGCGCGCGTGTACTGCCAAGGATGCTGGCGTCAAAATGAGACGCACAGATAGAGCAGTGACGCACACAGATAAACGTGTACACACCGTTTCACTGTGATGACTTCTTCGTGTCGTGTTTGTGGGTTTGCATGAAAAATAAACGGGCCTGTAAAAACGAACCGTATTGGCAGCGGTGGGATTCGAACCCACGCCATCGAAATGACTGGAGCCTAAATCCAGCGCCTTAGACCACTCGGCCACGCTACCACGGCTGTGCTGCGGCGCCGTGTGCAGTTAAATCCTGTTTGGTACAGATAAA